CGAACCAAGGCGTGGTCTTGCAGACAGTGGGCACACCACGGAGCCAGAACGTAGGTTGGCTCTCATGCTGCGCGGTCGCCGCAGGGAGCAGCGAGGCAGTCTTGTCGTAGTCGGCGTGGCCGCGGTTGCTCTCGCAAGACCATATCCTGTGAAAAAGTGTCTCAGGATGCTTCATGCACCGCGGGCAAGTGGTGGACTCCAGCTTGTACCCGCACAGGTGCCTCCGAGCTCGAGTCCACTGCCCTCCAGCCACGACCGTCAAATTCAATCCATGTTCATCATACTGGCTGCGGGCCTGGTGACGCTTGAGCTCCCTCATGATGTGGAAGAAGTCGCCGCCGCCTGCCAGGCCCTCGCCATTGTCATGCCTACTAGCCTCTGACCAGAGCGCCGAGCGGATGTCGCTGATGAGGTCGTCGATCAGCTCCGTAGTGGAGCCGAAGTGCTCAAACGCCTCGTCTCCGCTCGAAGGGATGTGCCACTCATCAACTCCAGCCAGAGTGGGGCGGGTCCAGACCGTTGCAGACTTCGGGTCCCACCCCACATCCATCAATGTAGCAATGACCGCCGAGATGGGGCCTCTGACGATGTTCCAGCGCCGCCTCTCAGCCTTCGCAAGACGTCCCCGAATCGACGGCCACACAAGTCTGAGGCGCCGATGTAGCTGAGGTTGGGCCTGCCAGAAACAGAGCCATTATAGAACCAGCTGACGACGTATCTCCACCGCAGGGTCCTTCAAGCCGAAAGAGGCCGCCAGCGTGCTGGTCAAGTAGCGCCCGCCTTGACCACCAGTGAGGAGGAGGAGGAGGAGGAGGAGGATGAGGAGGAGGAAGACCCCCTCCCCGTCCTACTTACGGTGTGGTGGTGGAAAACAAGCCCCCCAGCCCACCAGCAGTTCCTTGTCATTTTGACCAGGGCTCGCTGTCCGCGCCGCCGCAGGCGTTGTCCGTGCGAGACGGAAGTCTGTCGATGTTGGACAACGTTTGTTGTTGGTCATCGTGCCCAACGTGTTTTGGTTTTTTGGGGTGGGGTCTTAAGCGAACAGAGGGGGTTATGCGTTTCGCCCCTCCGGGCCTCCCCGTGCTAGACACAGAGGAGCGCCATAAATGCTGATGGCCCCTCCCTTGTGGTGGCGGCTGTGCAGGCGGGGATCCAGGAGCACGCGCCGAGATGCACTGTTGTTGCTGTGGCTGCTGCGTTAGCGGGCACCGTGATGCCTGCGGTTTCGCGGCCCTCTGCGCCAGCGACTCTGCACACGGAGCGAGCTCAGGATGCACAGGGCAAAGCTGAAGACTCCCATGATTTGGTTGAAGTGTTGGAGAAACTTCGAGCTGTGCGCCGAGCCCAAAGTTTACGCAAGAAGGAAAAGCGCTGGACGCCCAAGCAGGCCATGATGGCCATAGATGGTCCAGCCTCTCCTCTTCTTCATTATGACCTTCAGCCTCGCGTTGAGGTCATTCCACATCTAGCAGGTGCAGCTGGCCAAAGCGCAGCCTGCTCTGGCACCTGATCTACGTCTGGACCGCTCGTGTTCACCCCCGCATCCCAGACGTGCCCCCTCTGATCAGCACGCAGCCGGTTCAGACCCGCATTTCTCGGCGATCGCGTTGCGACGAGCTGAGACAGCAGATGAGGCGAGTTCTTGCCGCACTCTGGGGAGATCTCTTGCAACGTCATCCGTTCCAGCCCCAGATCATTGACAATCCTGGGCGGATCCGAAGGGTGTTTCGGAGGGGGAACCGTCCTTTGGTCGTGGTGAAGGCGCCAGCGGTTCTACAAACAGCTGGCCCGAGCCTTGCACGGGGCAGAGAAGGAAATAGCTTGCTTCTCTGTTCGTGCATTAGGCATCCATGCTGCCGCTTCTTTACAAGTTCATGCATCCAGTTGGGTGGCTGCGTACGTCGAGCATTCTGCACATAGCCTGCGCCTTGTACTACAGGTTTGAGACAGTGCATATTAGGAGGGGTGCTTTCTCTTTCCTCTGTGGCCCCGCGCTCTGAATGCGGGCCCCTCTTCGGCAGCATGTGGCTGCAGCGCGCTTCATGTCCTCGAGAGGTCAGGCGGCTCCTCGGTAGATCCGTGCACGCGCTTCGCCCCCAAGGAGCTCTTCGGACCGCGCGCCGCGCCCGCCGCCCAGGAAGCGCGCGAAGGCGGCCAGGAGCGACCATCGCGGGTCCGCTTTCCCCTCGGTCTGGGTCAGGGGCCGCGGGGCCCGCGGGCCGGAGGGAGCTTCGCGCCCAGAGGGCCCCGAGGCAGCCAAGTCGCCCAAGGCCGCACAGGCCAGCGGCGCTGCTCCCGTTCGGCGCCACGGCGGATGCGCGTGAGAGGGCCCAGATATCCGGCGGCTCGATTTCATCGAGGCTCGGCGCCACCGAGAGGGGTGTGCCCATCAACGTTGGGGTTCGCTCGCGCGGGCGTGGCCCCCTTCCGCCCCACCACGACCCAACTCCCTTGAGGCCCTCCCCGGGCCCTCTGAAGAGCTTCCATGCAGGAGCCCGTCGGGGAGGGTTCCCCGCAGAGGCCCGGGACGGTCCCAGTCGCTCTGCAGGGGCAACGCCAGCCTCGTGACTGGCTCTTGTCAGGAGGGGAAAAAACACCCAGACACGATTTATCGTCGATTCCCCCGAACATATGGGAAAATATGGGAAGTGCGCGGGAAGACAGAAACCCCGAACATATGGGAACATATGGGGAATATCTTCATGTGTGTGTGTGTGTGTTTCTTTGTGTGTCCTGGGGCCCCTTCATCTTGGGCGGCGCGCAGCACGAGGTGCAGGCCTGGCGGCAGGCGCCGCCCCTGCGCGGCCTGCCCGGCGCCCGGGGCTGGGCGGCAGGGGAGCCATGGGCGCACTGCCCATCTTCGGCGAGGGCCCGCGCCCTTGCGGAGGGCCCGCGCGCGCGACGGGCGCCGAGGGGCGCGGGGAGCGCGGCGAGCAGCTGCGGGAGGCCAGCGGGGCCCGTCGCGGCAGAGGCTCGGACGGCGGAGCGGCCGCCAGGCAGCCACCTCTGCGAGGCGCTTCCGCCGGCGAGGCGCGCTGCCGCTGGCGAGGCGCGTTTCCGCCGGCGAGGCGCGCTTCCGCCAGCGAGGCGCGTTTCCGCGGGCGGGGCGCTCCCGCGGGCGGGGCGCCTCCGCGGGCGAGGGCCGAGCATTTTCTTTTTGGGGTGGCGGGCTCAGGGTGAAGCCTGCAGTGCCGTCTCGATGGATGTTCGAGGCTTGAATCTGCCAAGATGGGCCTGTTTCCCACCACCACCACCATAAGTTGGAGGGGGAGGAGGTCGTCCTCCTCCTCCTCCTCCTCCTCCTCCTCCTCCTCCTCCCTTTCCTCCTCCTCCTTCCCCCCTCCAACTTATATGGTGGTGGTGGTGGTGGGAAACAGGCCCATCTCCGATGCTCGAGGCGCAAAAGCCCATGCGGATCTCACCCCGAGCCCCGCAGCATGAGCACATGCTCGGGAGGAGCGGTCCGCGGCCGCAGGCGGTCCACAGCCGGGAGCTGCATGCGCGGCGCCCGCCGCGCGGGGGCGTGGCCCGCGGTGCCGCGGGGCGCCTCGGAGGGGGCCCCGCAGGGAGGGGGGCCGCCTACCGCGGGCCTGCGGGGTCGCGGCCGGGAGCTCCCGAGGCCCGCGCCCGCCTTGGGCGGCAGGTCGGCAGCGGTGGCCCCCGCGGTGGTGGCTCGTGGGGCACCCCCAGCTCGGTGGCTCTCGGTATCGGGGCGGCGGCGGCGACGACGACGACGATGGTGATGGTGACGAAGGTGATGCTGCTGATGGTGATGAGGATGAGGATGAGGATGAGGATGAGGATGAGGATGAGGATGAGGATGATGACGACGACGACGACGACGACGACGACGACGACGACGATGATGATGATGATGATGATGATGATGATGATGATGCTGATGCTGATGCTGATGCTGATGCTGATGCTGATGCTGATGCTGATGCTGATGCTGATGACGATGCTGATGGTGACGAGGATGATGCGACGGCTGATGATGGTGATGATGCTGATAATGCTGATGGTCATGATGGTGATGGTAATGATGGTATTGATGGTAATGATGGTGATGGTGATGGTGATGGTGGGCTGTGGATGATGATGTATGACGATGTGGATGATGTTGAGGCTTGTGATGATGCTGACGGGTGTGATAATGACGAAGGTGAGGATGAGCTTGATGATGACGATGGTGATGATGGTGATGCTGATGTTGATGCTGATGCTAATGCTGGTGATGACTATGACGGTTGGTGATGATGAGGATGGCGATTGCGATGGCGATGGTGATGATGATGATGATGATGATGATGATGATGATGTTGTTCTTGATGGTGATGATGCTGCTGATGATTATACTTATAATGACGTTGCCGATGATGACGCTGGGATGTTTTTTCTGCTGAAGACGATGGCGATGCTGACGATGATGACGAATATGATGACGACGACGATGACGGTGACGACGACGACACTGGATGATAGATGATGGATGATGGATGGCGACGGTTATGATGATGGTGATGCTGATGATGATGATGCTGATGATGATGGTGTTGGCGTTGGTGCTGGTGATGATGCTGATGATGATGATGATGGTGGTGCTGATGATGATGATGTTGACGATGATGATGATGATGATGATGCTGATGATGATGATGATGATGATGATGATGTTGAGGCTCCCTTTCTATGCGGACGATGCGGTTGATGATGATGCTGATGATGATAATGACTCTGATGGTGCTGGTGGTGATGCTGGTGGTGATGATGATGTTTCTGCTCGTGATGATGATGGTGACGACGACGATGACCATGTTGGTTATTGTGCTACTGATGTTGCTGATGCTGATGCTGATGAGCAGGAGGAGGAGGAGGAGAAGGAGCAGAATGAGGAATGTGCCTAGTGATACTGATGGTGGGTCGGATGACGGTTCGGCGGGCATGTACGTATGAACACTCAGCACCCCCTCTTTCTGTCTCTCCCCTGCCCCGGCCAGATCTTTTCGGCTGCCCTCAACATGCACAACAATCGCGAAGGAGACTCTCGCGCAGGAGGCTACAATGCAGGAGGCCAGCACAGCGGACATGAATCAATTGGTTGCAACGTGATGAGTGTTTTTCTTGCCTCGCAGGTCATGCCAGCAGGGAGCGAATACGCTTAACACGAGACCGCCAGCAGGTGTTGCTTTCCGGGGATACTCTGGAGGTTCGAGGCTGCGGCCTCATATGCAATGCGATGCTGGGCCCGCCAGCCTCTCAGCCGGCCTTCCGCTTCAGAGCGAGAGAGGTGATGGCGCTCTGATGGCAACGCAGGCGGTCTAGCCTGACATCCCAGACGTGCTCGCGGCGTGAAAAAAAAGCACAGTGGGAAGTCTTTGGCCGTTTTCGCTTCCCGTGGGCCCTCGCGGGGCTTGGGGGCCGCCGAAGGCCTGCCCGGGACCCCGAGAACTGGCCCCGGCAAGGGGTCGGGGCTTCCAGGGACCACGTTCCAAAAAAAGTCAGGACACCGCATGTCTGGATGCCCAGCCTGTCGTTTCTCTCCCAGGGCCTCTCCCTGCAGCCCCCTCTTCCTCTCTCCTCCTCCTGCCCCGGATCCGCCCTTGTGGCCGGAGGTCCTCGAGGCCGCGGGGCGCCGGGCTTCTCTTCAGGGGGCAACGAAAGGGGGGGATGGGCATGCACGCCGGTCGTTGGAAGTGGGTATTCTTGGATTCTCAGATCCCAATCTACTTCAAGCGCCTTCTTACTTCAAGAACCGACATGCTTTTGCTGCGTTTTGTGATTGGGCTGGCCTCCGCCCAGTGCCGCCGATCCGGGGGAGGGTGAGAGCGAGATGATGATGGGGATCCTGGGGACGTCTTGGAGGCTTCTGGAGCCGTCTTGGGGGCATCTTGGGCGGCTTGGAGCGATGTTTCGGCGAGTCGGGGCCCTCTTGGACCGTCTAGGGGCCTCTTAGGCCTCTCTTGGCTTTTTCTTGGGCCGTCTTTGCGGTCTGGGGGCTTGGGTCGTCTTGTGGCGCTCCTGGGGTCTTCTTCGGGGGCCGTCTTGGACTTGGAGTGGGGCCGTCTTGTGGCGCTGCCTGGGCCGTCTTGGGGGCCCTTCTTGGGGGCCGTCTTGGAGCCCTCTTGGGGGCCTGTTGGCGTGTCTTAGGGAGCTCTGGGGCCGTCTTGGACACATTGTGAAGGCCCAAGAAACGAACATGCAGAAAATATACGTTTTGTCAGTCTTTGCGCATTCTTGGGAAGTGTCGTGAGGGATCCTGGGGACGTCTTGGAGGTTTCTGGAACTGTCTTCGGGGCATCTTCGGTGGTTCGAGCGATGTTTCGGCGATTCGGCGCCCTCTTTCATTGTCTAGGGGGCCTCTGGGGCCTCTCTTGGCTTCCTCTTGGGCTGTCTTGGGCGGTCGGGGCTCCGGAAGTGGAGTTTTCTATACTCCCCTGTCCCTGGGTACCGAAAAACGTCGGAAATGACGTCGGAAATATCCCCGTGTACCGAAAACTGTCGGAAATGACGTCGGAAATATCCCCGTGTACCGAAAAACGTCGGAAATGACGTCGGAAATAACGTACCCCCCCCCCGCAGAGCGAAGCTTGAGCGAGCTCAAGTCCACGCTCGCAGAAACTCACACGCCGGATCGGTGGATTCTCTGTGAGGACCTGGACCCAATCTACTATATCCGCCTTCCTACTTCATGTTTCTACCTACTTCTTCCGACCGACGTGCAGGGGGGGATAGGCATAGGGGGGGATGCATCGACTCCCAATCGCCCATTGATCGCCGATAGGGACCCGATAACCCCACCCCGCCCAGGACGGTGCGGATTCACTATCGGGGGCCCATCGCCGATCCATCGGCGATGTATCGCCGATTCCAGGTCGACGCATCCCCCGCCTACAGTCGGGGCCCTGAAGAAGGAACCCTTTTCGTTGGGGAGGGGCTCCGCGTTCCTTAGGTGTTTCGCAGCTTGCCTCAGGTTTTCCTTATGTTTTCGATACGAAATCGAAGTTGAACTTATGGAAAAAAGGGGCCTCGTTGATTATTTTGGGTTCCTTAGGTCAAAACCGGCCGCGGGCTGGAAAACTATTTGTTTTAATCGTTCTCCTCCAGTCAGGAACTTGTGTGCAGAAGTAGCAGAAAACTATTTCTAAAATCGTTCTCTCCCATTTTTATTGATTAATCGTCATCCCGCATTCTGCCCATTCCCCCTCCTTATTTAGGGTTCCTTAGGTCAACGCCCCGACTGTGTGCCCATCCCCCCCCTACCGTTGCCCCGTGGAGGGCGGGAAGGAGGAGGGCGGCAGGGGAAGGAGGAGGAGGAGAGTTTTCTACGCTTTCTCTCGAAGAAGGATCCAAAACCATACATGTAAATTTTTGGCGCTCCGCGCGGATTCCTTGGATCCGTGCCAGGCCCCCCGGGCGCCGCCTCCAGCGCCGCCCCTGGCGCGTTCCGCGCGCCAGGGAGGTGGGTCCAGCGCGGATCCAAGAATCCGCGCGGAGCGCCAACGTTAATGTGGATGGATGGCATTTTTTTCTGTTTCTATTCTCCGAGGAGGCGGCTGCCCAGAAGGCTGGGGGGCTTCTGAGAAGCCCCGCCGCCTTCGAGAGGACCTGCCCCCCTCTCTTTTCCCCCCAGGCTCGCTGCCGACTCACTGGCGGTGCGCAGAAAAATGTCCCATCCGCTGCAGGTCTGGTTATGCATCTCACCTGCCGCTGCCGGAGACCCCGTGGGCTGGAGCGACCCCCGGGTGCCGGGAATGGAGGCGGTTGTCTAGATTCTAGCAAGTTTACTTGCACGGACGGGGGGGGGCTGCACCCCAAGCAAGCGAGAAGCAGCTTGCACTAGAGGGGGGCTCCGCGCCGACGCAAGCGCAAGTGAAATCCTTCGAAACTCGCAGACTTCCGCAAGGTTTGCCTAGGATGCGCCACATGGCCAGCTGCGCGTGCAATAAAAAACGCAATCACAATTGAACCTTTTGAAAGTCGCTGCAGCCATACGTAAGAAACGTGCAAGACCAGCAGATGCAAGAACATGCAAACGCACGCGAGCAATTGAAAGCGATGCAATCAAAACGCATTGAGCAACAGTTGGGGAACCATGTGTGCAACCAGTCGGAACCAATTGGGAAACCATTGGATCACAATTGGGAAGCAATTCGCAAACCATTGGGAAACCATTGAGACATTTGGGAACCAATGGGGAGCCACTGGGAAATCATGGAAGAACAGGTTGGAGAACCGTCGGGAAACTTGATCGTCGAAGGACACAATTAGTGCGGTCGGGGGCGCACCGGACCATTTTGAGGAAGTTACATTCGAACTCCAACACAGTTCTGGCACTTGCACACCCTCTGGGGGGGGCGGCGGGAATCATGCAAACGCCATGCACGCAAGCTTGCTTCGTTCCGAAGGGCAGGCGTCTCATGGCGAATCGCCCCGAGCGCGCTCCCCAGGCCTCCCGCGATCCGGTCTCTCCCTTCTTGCAGCCCTGGCGCTCCTGCCAGACCTCGGCCCCTGAGTCCCGCCGCTGTCGGCCCAGGGCAAGATTGGCGGCGCGCAGAGGGGGGGGTGGGGGGAGGGGGGAAGGCTTCTTAGAAGCACCCCTGCTTCTTAGAAGGCGCGGGCCTTCTCTATAGACGTAAGGCCGAGGCCTTTTAAGAAGCAGGGTGCTTCGAAGAAGCCTTCGCGTGTGCGCGAGGCGCGTGGCCTCGCTGCCTCTCCGCCTCCTCCTTAAGGGCGTGCCCCCAGAGGCCTCCGGAGGTTCCGCCTGCTTGGCCCCGCCGGCCCTGGCCTCGCGCCCGTGCGTGCCGGCCCTCCGGCGTCGTGGCGTTTGGACGGCGTGGTCTCCCAGAGGACTGGGTGAACCCTTGCGAAGCAGATGTGGAGGAGGAGGATTCGGAGGAGGAGGAGGAGGAGGAGGAGCCCCTTGCCCAGGGGCGGCTTCTCATCCCGAGCCGTTCTGAGGACGGTCCCGGGGTCCTGTAACTCAGGCTTCCTCAGGCGGAAGCTTAAGGATCTTTGGCCTGCGGTGGAGGTTTGTTGTCGTAATCATGCGCAGGCGATGTTTCTCCCCCAACCTGGGGTTTTTCGACGGAAGTTGAGGGCCGCCCAGAAAAGGAGGGAACCCTGTGGTACACCCCAAGGGGGCTATTCGGACGCACCCCTATCAAGGATGGACGCCCCCCCGTCGTATAACCCCATGGCTGGGCCCCAAATTCTAGATCCAGTCGAAAACCTCCCAATGCTTGGGATTGGGGTTGACATATATCCTTTGCAAATCTTTGCGAAGCAGATCCGGAGGAGGAGGAGGAGGAGGAGGAGGAGGAGGAGGAGGAGGAGGGGAAGAAGGAGCAGGAGGAGGAGGAGGAGCAGCAGGAAGAGGATAAGGAGGAGGAGGAGGAGAAGAATGAGGAGGAGGAGGAGGAGGAGCAGGAGGAGGAGGAGGAGGAGGCGGAGGAGGAGGAGGAGAAAGAGGAGGAGGAGGAAGAGGAGGAGGAGAAGAAGGAGGGGGAAGAGGAGGGGGAAGAGAAGGGGGAGTTCCGTCCAGCCTCCTCCACAATGTCACCATATGAATACTACTCTCCTGACTCCCCTAGTGGCGTCCGGCGAATGCCTGGCCCTCCTCCGCGTACTAGTTTTTTACACCAGATTCCAGGGGGTTGGGCTGTCGTTCCCCCCCCCCCCCAAACAAAGCTGTTTTTTTTCAAAATGCTGCTCTCGCTGAAGCGCTGGCTTCAATTTCGGGCTACCGCTCGTTCCGAATCGTGCTCCCGCTGCAGCGGTGGCCTCATTTCCGCGCTTCCGCTCGTTCCGAATCGCGTCATTATTTCGAGTGCCATGCCCCGGCATGGTCTTCGGTCCTGCCAATGCCAAATCGGCCCCCCCATCGGAAGTGATTACAAATTCGGTGTCGATTCTTTGATTTGTTGGGCCGCAGAAGCCCCCCACCAGCTTGGGCCGTCGCCACGCCATGGTACGTCATGCTACGCGTTGATCTTCGACACCATGCTATGCCATGCTGCGACACACGACTGTGCGAGTAGAGAGGGGAGCCACGCCATGGTAAGGCATGGGAGGGAGGGGCAGGACGTCAGATCGAAGGATTGCAATCCTTCGTTTGTTTGCAATCTTTTTTTTGCAATCCTTCGTTTTTTTGCAATCCTTTTTTGCAATCCTTCGTTTTTTCTTGCAATCCTTCTTTTTGTTTGCAATCCTTCGTTTTTTTGGCAATCCGACGTCAGATCTGCCGCGAGCCCACCTAACTTGGCTTCACCCCTCCCCTCCCCCCTCCCCCCGCCTCCCCTCCCCTGCCTCCCCGCCGGCCTGCGCTCCCTCGACCCGCGCTCCAGGAGGGGGAGGAGGAGGGGGAGGAGGAGGAGGAGGAGGAGGAGGAGGAGGAGGAGGAGGAGGAGGAGGAGGACGAGGAGGAGGAGGAGGAGGAGGAGGAGGAGGATGTGGAGGAAGGGGAGGATCCCCTCCCCTCCCCCTCGCTGCCCCCCCCCCCCCCGAGGCCGCGGTGGGAGGCGCTGAGCGCCCGCGGAGCGGCGCCGCGCCGTGCGCCGCCCCGGGGAGCGCGCGCGGCAGGCATGGCGTGGGCCCAGAGCTCGGACCCCGGAGGATCGGGCAGCAAAGCGTGGGAGCCTTGTGTACCCTCGTAATCAGTATGTCCTCAGCGTCGACTCGCGTCGACTAGCGTCTGGGAGTCGATGAGATGGCGCCGATTCAGCGTCGGCCAGCGTCGATTCAGCGTCGATTCAGCGTCGATGTGCGCCGACTGTAGCGTCGATTCGCAGGAGCCGACGAGATGGTACGGGAGGCTCCCGTGAGTTGCCACCGAAGTAGAAAAGCATGCAACATCGAGGCTTGAGGTTCGAGTACTGGCCCTCTCTGGGCCTGACCTCCCGAATTGACGGCGGTTGGGCCAGGCTGGCCTCGCCTCTGGATCCTGGCCAGAGCGCGCCCCAGGACTGTCCTGGGGGACGTCTCTCTGAGGAGGAGGAGGAGGAGGAGGAGGAGGAGGAGGAGGAGGAGGAGGAGAACCCAGACAGTCCACGTTTTGAACAATTCAGTGCCGAGGTCTGTTTTGCCCTGCTCGGCCCCCGTGGGGCTGTTCCTGGACCCCAGGGCCGTCCACCGATGATCCTTGATGCGCACTCGTCTCTGGGGGGGGGGGGGGGGGCACGGGCGGGGGCCGGGTGCCGAGCAAATCGCGACATCCGAGCCTGGAAGATCGCAGTGTGACCTCGGGAGGCTAGAGGGGAAGAGGAGGATCCCTCCCTCCTCCCTCCTCCCTCCTCCTCCTCGTCCTCCTCGTCCTCCTCCCCCTCCTCCTCCTCCTCCTCTCAACCTCCTCCTCTCCACTCTTCCTCGTCCTCCTCTTCCCCTCCTCCTCCTCCTCGCCCCTCCTCCTCCTCTCCTCCTCCTCCTCCTCCTCCTGATCCTCTCCTGATCCTCCTCCTCCTCCTCTCCACTTTCTCCTCCCTCCTCCTCCTCTTCTGCTTCCTCCTCTTCCGCCTCCTCCTCCTCATCCTCCGCCTCTTGCCCCCCCCCCTTTCCTCCTCCTCCTCCTCCTCCTCCTCCTCCACCTCCTCCTCCTCCTCGAGGCCGGGGAAGTGTGGAGTACCTGAGTGTTCCAGATGTCTTATTTTGTTACGAGCTTGCACCCTTCTTTCCATCCTTATCCTTATCTTACCTCTTTCTCTATGAACAGATGCATTCCTTCCTTAAGCTGTACCGCTATTCTGCCAGCCTCTTCAACGAAAACGTACCGATGCGATTCCACTACATTGCCAACCAACGCCAAAGCAATGCAACTTGGGGATAATTGTCTTCCGGTGCATTTCAATAAGAAACCTTCTGTGGGTGATGTCATGCTGAATTCATCCTCGGAGGATTTCGACAGGAATGCTTCTGTGGAGGGTTTCCGCAGGAATCCTCCTGTGGAGGATGTCAGTCGGGATCCTTCTTGTGGGGTTTTCAATAGGAGCCCTTTTTGTGGAGGATTTCAGTAGGAGTCCTTCTGCGGAAAGAGCCACGAGGACTCGCCAGCGCAATGCTAAAGCAGTGCCAACGCAATGCCAAACCAATGCCAATGCGACCCCAATCCAATGCCAATGCTATGCCAATGGGGGTACTTCTTTGTGGTATATTGCCCTTTTAATCCTCCTGGGGGTTGCAATAGGAATCCTTCTGCGAAGGGAGACATCGGAACTCGCCAGCGCAATGCCAACGCAGTGCCAACGCAATGTCAGCGCAATGCCAGCGCAATGCAAATGCGATCTCACATCCGATGCCAATGCAATATCGTTGGGGGCAGTCCTTTGTGGTAGATTTCAAGAGGAATCCTTGTTTTGCGGAGGGTGTCAATCGAGATCGTTCTGCGAAGGGAGGCATTCGGACTCGCCAGCGCAATGCTAAAGCAGTGCCAACGCAATGCCAACCCAATGCCAGGGCGACCGCAATCCAATGCCAATGCGATGCCAATGGGGGCAATCCTTTGAAGTAGATCTCAATAAGAATCCTCCCAGGGGTTGCAATAGGCATTGTAACTCGCCAGCGCAATGCCAAAGCAGTGCCAACGCAATGCCAGCGCAATGCCAATGCGATCCCAAAATGCGATGCCATGCAATGTCGTTTGGGGCAGTCCTTTGTGGTAGATTTCGAAAGGAATCCTTTTTGCGGAGGGTTTCAATAGGAATCCTTCTGCGAAGGGAGGCATTATGATTCGCCCGCGCAATGCTAAAGCAGTTCCAACGCAATGCCAAACCAGTGCCAAGGCGACCCCAAAATGCGATGCCAATGAGGGCGATCCTTTGTAGAGTTCAATCGGAATCTTCTATGTGGGGGGTTGCAATAGGAATCCTTCTGCGAAGGGAGACATAGGACTTGCCAGCGCAATGCCAGCGCAATGCTCAAACAGTGCCAACGCAATGCAAAATCAATGCCAAGGCGACCCGGATCCGATGCCAATGCAATGTCGTTGGGGACAATCCTTTGTGGTGGATTTCAATGAGAGTCCTTCTTCTGAGGGTTGCAGTAGGGATCCTTCTGCGAAGGGAGGCGCTAGGACTGGGCAGCGCAATGCCAGCGCTTTGCCAGCGCACTTCCAACGCAATGCCAACACAATGTTAAACCAATGCCAATTGGAGTCATCGTATCTGGGTGTATTTCAGTGAAAACCCTTCTGGGATGATGTCATTGCGAACCCATGTTCGGAGGATTTCAATAGGAATCCTTTTGGTAAGGGCTTCGAATGCAATCCTTCTGAGGAGGATTTCAATGTGAATCCTTCTTGTGCGTGGGGGGGAGGGGTCACTAGGCATCCTTCTTGTTGGGGTGGATTAGTGAGAAATTTCCTGTGGAGCGTCCGATTAGGGCTTGCCAGCGCAGCGCCGATGCAATGCAAAACCAATACCATGGCGATCCCATTCCAATGACAATGGAATGCCAATGGTGGCAGTCCTTTGTGGTAGATTTCAATAGTTTGTGGAGGGGTTCAATAGAAATCCTTTTTTGCGAAGGGAGTACTTAGGACTCGCCAGCGCAATGCCAGAACAATGCCAAAGCAGTGCCAACGCAATGCCAGCGCAATGCCAAGGCGACCCCAACCAAATGCCATTGCAATGCCAATTGGGGAAAGGAAATCCTTTGTGGTAGGCTTCAATAGGAATCCTTTCAGTGGAGGGCTTTGCATGGAATCTTTATGTGGGTGATTTCATTATGAACCTTTTTGTGGAGGTTTCAAGATGAGTCCCTATTTTAAGGAGGTTTCAATGTGAGTCCTTATGTGGAAGGTTCCATCAGGATTCCCCAACGCACGCCATCAGGATCCTCTGAACCCTTCTTGTGGGGTTTTCAATCGGGATCCGTCCAGAGGTGAGGGCAGATGAGGCCACGTCGGATTATTGTTTTCGCAGCCGCCCCCCCCCCAGAAAAACAACAACAACAAACAAGCACAACAAACATCCGTTACGCGTTTCTTTTTTTTGGGGGGGGGGGGGAGGCGAGGGACAACAAAATCTGGGGTCTCCCTCTCCTCCTCCTCTGCCTCCTCCTCCTCCTCCTTCACCTCCTCCTCCTCCTCCTCTTCCTTCCCCCCAGAATCGAATGTGCTTCTTCACCTGCCCCCAACAAAGTATTCACTGCGTGGAGCTCCCCATATGTGCATCTATTCGCATGGACCTGTCCGCCGTGAATGTCTAGGCGCAAGAGCTTTCGAATAAAAACGGGCTTCAGTTGTGACAGTCTGGTCATGAATCTACTGCGAATGAATTGGAGTGTGAATGAGCCTCGGTAGTACGAGCGCGTCTCTGCGCATGAGCCTGGGGCCTCCTGGGGCCTCCTGACACCTACTGGGGCTTCCTGGGGCCTCCAGGGGCCTCCTGGGGCCTCCTGGGACCTCCCAGGGGGGCTTTGTGCCCCAGGAGAGGCCCAATATATAGCAACCGACGTACACAAAACATTGCATATTGGAGCCACAGGAGAAGGGCAATCTATAGGAACACACGCAAAGCACCAAGGTCTCGTGCCCCAGGAGAGGCCCAACATATAGGAACATACGTACACCATGTAGGATTGCGTTCCCAGGAGAAGGACAATCTATAGATACATACGTATAACGTCAAGGATTCGTGCTCCAGGTGAGGCCCAATCTATAGGAGCATACGTAAAACACATGGGATTGGAGCCACCTCTGTTGCCTTCTGAGGCCTCCTGCTCTTGGGGCTTCTCGGGGCCTCCTGTTGCCTTCCGAAGTCTCCTGGTGCTTCCTGTGGCCTCCTGGGGCCTCCTGTGGCTTCATGAGGCCTCCTGGAGCTTCCTGGGGCCTCCTGGAGCATCTTGGGACATCGTGCGGCCTCTTGAGTCTTTCTGTGGCCTCCTGATGCCTCCTGGGACCTCATGTGGTCCCCAGTGGCATCCTGGAGCCTGTTGGAGCATCCTGTGGCACCCTGAAGAGAATCTGTGCCCACGAGTCTGGTCACCAAAACAGGCAAACCGAACGAGACATCCTCAAACTATGGCCCACCTGGGGGGTGAAACTGAGCGCCTCGCTCGAGACATCCTCCAAATCTGCTCCGAACGCGAAGGATGTCGGGCCAGAACACAGGCAAACTGCTTGAGACATCCTTACAAAACGGCCGCGAACGGGACCGTGCCATACCCCTCGGCTGCGCCCCTTAGGGGCGTGAAAATGAGCGCCTCGCTCGAGTCATCCTCCAAATCTGCTCCGAAAGCGAAGGATGTTGGGCCAGAAAACAGGCAAACCGCTTGAGACATCCCCATCCTCGGCTGCTCCCCTTAGGGGTGCTGAAACCAGCGCCCAGCCTGAGACATCCTGACAATCTGCTGTGTGTAGAGTAAGTCAGACAATGAGAAGGCTTGAGTATGAGTAAGTCTGGCTATGAGTGATTCTCAGCATGAGTAAGTCTGAGTATGAGTAGGTCTGAGTATGAGTATGTCTGCGTATGAATAATATTGTGTGTAAGTAAGTCTGGGTATGAGTAAGTCTGAGTGTGAGTCTGTCTGTGCATGAGTGAGTCTGGGTATGAGGAGGAGAGGGGAGGAGAGGGATAATGATAATAATATATAGGAGGCGTCACAGTAATAACAAGAACTCCATCTTAGGATATGGGGAACAACAACAAAGGCCGCGCCATGTTTTTTTGTTTTTTAGGGGGGGATGAGGAGGAGGATGAGGAGGATGAGGAGGAGGAGGAGAGAAGGATGAAGAGGAGGAGTAGGAGAAGAGGAAGAGGGGGAAGAGAGGAGGAGAAAGAGAGAGGGAGTAGGAGTAGTAGAGGAAGAGAGAGGAAGAGGGGGAAGAGAGGGGGACGAGGAGGAGTAGGAGTAGGAGAAGAGAATATGGAGAAAGAGGAAGAGGGGGAGGAGGAGGAGGAGGAGGATGATGAGAAACAAGAAGGGGTATCATGTTCGAAAACTCCACGAGAACACTCTTCGAAAGGCGAGGTACTCCACAATCCCCCGTTCTCTCCTACTCCTCCTCCTCTCCCTCCTCCTCCTCCTCCTGCTTTTCCTCCTCCTCCTCCTCTTCCTCGTCGTCGTCCTCCTCCTCCTCCTCCCCCTCCTTCTCCTCCTCCGTCTCCTCCTCCTTCTTCTTCCTCATTATCCTCCTCCTTCTCCTCCTCATCATCATCCTCCCCCTCCACCTTCTCCTTCTCCTGCTCCTCCTTCTTCACCTCCTTCTCCCTCCTCCTCCCTCCTCCTCCTCCTCCTCCTCCTCCTCCTCCTCCTCCTACTCCTCCCCCCTCCTCTTCCTCCTCCTCCTTCTTCTCCTCCGCCTCTCCGTCCTCCTCTTCTTCTCCTTCTCCTACTCCTCCTTCCCTCCTCCTCCTCCTCGTTATCATCGTGCGCCCATGCTTGTGCGTGCTTCTCATCCCCTTTTCTGGGGCTCCAGAAGGCCTTCGGAGAGCTCTGCAGAGCTCCAGGGACTGCGAGGCCTCCAGCAGACCTCCAGAGAGACCTCTGCGGACCTCTAGGGACTTCTGGGGGGCTTTCTCCTCCAACTCCTCCTCCTTGGGGGTCTCGTGTGCAGGCTGCGGGCTCAGAGCAGGGTCGTGCCCGTCTGCGGCGAACTCCCTTGGGCGCTGGCCCTCGTCCGGGCCCGCCCGCGTCACCACGGCGAGATCTGCCCCGAAGACCTGGTCGGAGCGCGAATCCCAGGAGAAGTCCGCGCGGGGGGGGCCCGGAACGAGGCAGTTCGGTCCTGGGGGCGTCAGGGCCGGCGCGGCGCAGGACGCGGCGCGTGGGGCGGGCGGGGCGGCTCGGAGAGCACGCGCCCGCTCGAAGGCCGCTGGGTGTATGCGGGGTTCTCGGGGCGGCAGCTCGAAGACGTGCCAGCGTCAAGAGGAGGGTCGAGCCTGGTGCGAAATCGTGGCCGCGGCGAGCCGCATGTGGAAGCGACGTTCGAGCCAGGCAGGCCCTGTGAGTGCCAGACGCGTGTCGGGCTGCCGTGATTGACGAACGCCCTGGTGGACTGGCGCTGTTCCCAGAAGGAGTGTGCATCCATGGGGGCGCATACGTAGCAGTGTGCGGCCAAAGCTTTGGGACAAGGTCCACTGTGGGATTGGAAGGGGCCTGGTGCTCCTCGGGTGCTTCCAGGGGCGTTCCCCCGACGTTCCTGGTGCATCTCGGCGCAAGCGAGGCCCGAGGCGACTTCGTTCCTTTTTGTCCACGGTTCTACTGTCTCAACCATGCTTTCCTTCGTATGCCCTCCGATGTGTGCCGTTGATGTGAATGGGAGAACTTGAACTCCGAGTGCAGGCCGCCCCGCGAACTACAAGAGAGGGATACCGTGGGTGCCTGATGCAGTTGCCGTGACACTGGCTCGCTTGGCCTGGCACCAGGGCATGCTTCCCACGAAACTTGGGCGGCTCACTCGCGAGAGTCTTCTTTTATAGCGAGGGGTGTAATACCTTTCATGGAGGGGCTGATGTTGCTGCTATTGCTGTTGTGATGCTGCTGCTTGTGCGTGGTGATGACGACA